CGTGGCGGGAACGCGGCCGCCCCGTTCCCATGGCGACTCGCTCCACATGCGCAGCGGCACCCGCAGCCGGCGGGGAGCTGTGCCCAGCCCCATGCGCATCCCCGCTGTCGCCCCCACGGCTGCAAACCTGCACACAACACACACACACCCCCCCTCCAGCGCCCCGACACAGCACCGACGGGCACCCCAGGGCAGGAGACGAATGCTGTGGCCCCGCAGCATCGACGCCCTCGAGGGTCACGGTGCATCCGCTGGCATCCTTCCCCTCCCGCCCACCCAGTGCACCCCTAATTGGCTGCAGAGCCCCGGCAGCTTGGCCCCTGTGCCACCCAAAGCGGAGTGCCTCGGGGTGTCCAGCGAGGACGAGAGACACGTTGAGCCAGTGGCCAGCCGCCTGCGGCACGTGGCACTCGTGGGAGCACGTGCACCGTGGCCATCACTGGCATCACAGCCACCAGCGATGGTGGCACCCCAACACGGTGATGGGGGGGTTGCTGGTGGCGATGGAAACCATCACCCCTGCCACGTCCCTGCCTTTAGGCAGGGTGACAGCTCGGTCTTGTCCAGCCGAGCACCAAACCAGGACAGAATGTACCGGGGGAGGGGGGCTGCGCACATCAGGGAGCAGCACCCATGGGTGCTCGCAGGCAGGCACGTAAGCACCCATCAGGATTATGGCTATGGTGGTGTGGGAGAGAATGGGCTCAGTGCTGGGGAGCAGGGAGGAGGGCGAGTGCTGGGGCAGCGGTGGCCGAGGGCAGGGCAACCACAGAGGTGCCAGGGCTCCCACCTGCCTCCACTCAGTTAAGGGGCGCAGAGTCCCCAGCCACCCCATGGGGCAGGGCCACACGCCGGCGAGGGGACCGTGGCGAGGCCACCGGTGCTGTGGGGGCAACGGGAAGGGCAGCGTGGCCGGGGGACCGAGCCCGGCCGGAAGGAAGGAGGGATGGATGCACGGATGGGGGGAAGGAAGGGGCTGGGGAGTCCCGGCCACGCTCCGGCGGAGGCTGCTCCATCACGGAGACAAAAGCGGGGGCTGAGGCAGCATCAGGATGTGGGTCTTTGTGTGTGGGGGTGCCCCTTTCCGGGGTGCCCCAACCCACCGCTAGGGCCAGCTCGGTGCGGGCAGAGCTCGCCGGCCCCGACCGCAACAGGCTCCCCACCGGCAGCCTGGGTATCCCCGGGGGGGGGGCACCGTGCGGGAAGGGCCGTGGGTCGGGCACCGAGGTAACGGACACCGAGGGGACACCGGGAAGCGGGGCAGGGCGGGCAGGCGGCGCCTGGGGACCGGGGGCGTTTTTGCAGCTGGGGCGTGCGAGAGGGGAGCGGGGCTGCCGCGGCCGGGGACGTGCGGGCTGGGGGAGGCGCGGGGCCGGGCTAAGAGACACCCACGCCGGGCGGGGAGCGAGCGGACCGGCCGCCAGGCTGGGAGCAGCCGCCGAGTCGGGCCCCACCGGTAACCCCCGGGCCGCCCCGCTACCCCGCGACCGCGGCCTGGGCCCCGCTGCCCGCGTCGCATCCCCGCCCGGTGCCTCC